GGCTTAAGTCGTGACTTCATTCGCGTGATGAGTAGACTTATGTCCAACCACTACTCGCTAGATGCTCATCTCAATAGAATAAACCTCGTGGATAGCAACATCTGTCGGTGTGGAAACGGTTACGATGACATCGAACACGCAGTTTGGCAATGTACGGATAATGACGCCGCCAGAGAGCGACTTTTGAATACCCTCGAGGCCCAAGGAAGACAACCCTATGATCCTATCAGAGACGTGTTGGCAACCCGTGATCTCTGCTATATGCAGTCCGTTTATGTTTTTCTTCAAATGTCTAGTATAAGAATTTAATTCCTTTTGTCTTTTATCTCTCTTTATTAGTTTTTGTTTGTCTTGTCCCCCCGTCTCGATGAGTCTCATCGTCGCCCACTGGTCACCCACCATAGCCGGTCGAACTCCGGACGAAGCTAGAACAGCACTACCGTTCATACTGGCGACAACGCTCTGATGAGACAACGAAACCCTACCCCAAGCTCCTCCCCTGATCCTATCCTTCGAAAATGTACCCTTCTAACCTCGAGTAAGCCGCGAGTAATCGGCCCAACTCCTACTAGACATAGATTTAAGTGAATTTTGTTACACACAGTGAACAATGAATTATCGGCTCCGTAAAGCTAACGCGATTGAGCCTTCCAAATAAACGAACTAGATAAAAAAAAAGTCTTACATTCCCAAAAATTGGATTTGTGGTTTTCACCACAATTTGAACATTTAAATTTCTTAGGATCTTCCTTCACAGGACAGTCGTCCTTTGCGTAAGAGGAATCACCACAATTCATGCATTTAGCTGGCATGTAGCAATTTTTAGTTCCGTGACCCCATCCCTGACACTTACAGCACCGGGTGAGGTTTTGGAAATTTCCTCCAGTCTTCCTGAAGTGTTCCCACTTCACTCGGACATGGAGTGTAAAGCAAGCTTTTTCTAAGGCCTTATGGTTGTTTAGTTCACTAGACTTGAAGTGAACTAAATAAAAATCATTAGAAATCCCGTTGCGCGAATCACCAGAACGGGATTTCATTTTCATTTTGATTACTTGGAGTGGCACAATTTTGCCAGTTCATCTTTGATCTGATCCAGGGATTCACCACTGGGCAGTCCTTTCATGAAAACACACGTTCAGTTTTGGTGTCGTAAGTAAAAAATTTGTGCTGCTTCTCAGTAAGATACTTGAGAAGACATTTAAATCCGTCCAAGGTTTCAGCCAATACACGTCATTCACCCCGACGTCCAATTTGTAGTGAAAACTTAACTTTCATGAAGTTCAAAAGTTCCATGCGAAGAGCATGGAAATCGGAAGTCGTTATCACAATAGGGGGAATCTTTTCCTTCTTGGCATTAATCCGGGAAAGTTTACTAGAAGTTTTCTTGGGTGATGGATCATTCTCATCATCCGTGAGTAAATCAAATTAATTTCATCAGAAGGGGGGTCAAGAGGTTGCCCCTTTCTTTTGCGTTTAGGCGCCATGGCGGCAGTAAATTTTTATCCAAATCGACTTCCAAGCAGATTACTATAAGAATCTGAAGGATCGAAGAGAAATTTTCCAAATGGATATCCAAGAAGGATTACCTCGGGTAGGGTCCAAACAAGAATCGAAGAGGAATAAGAGTTGAACAAGGTAGAAATTTTACGGTTGATCACTGAAAAGTGCTGTTTAAATTTGTTGTAGCTTTAGGTAGTAGTAATACTTCCTTCAGAAAAAAAGCAAATAGATCCGCATGGCAAGAGAGCACGATGCGGACTGCGGAGCTACTAATTTGTTGGATCTAACCTGTTTTACGGCTATGGAAGAAAAAGCGCGGGTAGACGTATTCCATACGGACCTGAAGGCGGCTTTCAAAATGATCACAAAATGTTCACATCATCGGATAGGGGCAACTATCACCTTTCCGAAAGTGGTATTGGTTTGCGTGGGCGTACTTTGGTTCGCGTGTGAAGGGCCTTAGAAAGTTTGTTTACAAATGCTTTGTGCCGTTATCAAATGTTATGCCTGATATTGTTCCATCGTGCGACCGATTCTAGACAACACTTTACTCCTGTGGGCTCCAAACGACGTAACATGGAAACTAAGAATCGAGCGAGTCCAAAAAAGGTTCATACGGCTTGCTCTCAGGAATCTACCGTGGCGTGATCCGTCTAACCTTCCAGCGGTTCCCGCTAGATGCCGTCTGCTTGGTCTTGAAACGCTTGATCGAAGACGAAAATTGCAAAAAGCTACGTTTGTCGTTAAATTACTCAACGGTGACGTCGATTGCTCCTATCTTCTATCGCTCCGTGACTTCCGTGCTTCAGGTAGGATATTACGTCAGCTGTTCCTTATGCAACCGGGATTTCATCGTTCATCTGTACGATTATAACCAGCCTATATCTGCAATGGTTCGTTTGTTTGCATCTGTTGAATCCGCGTTCAATTTGGTTTGTCAACGCCTCAATTTGTAAATAGAGTAATAAGATTGAACATAATTTAGGTATTGATTAAGACTATTTGTCAGATGATTTACTAAACAATAAATAAATAAATAGTACGCATCGGAACTCTTTGGAGCTTGAAGTTCCTCATGTGCTTTCTATAGTTTCTAAAGTAGTCGGAAAGTTCTGTTGGAACTTTATGTGCAAGTTATGGAACTTGAACGTGGGTTTTATCGTGGAATGTGGAACTTTTGGTTGCTTGGGAAGAAAGTTTTGTCTGAACTTTATTTGAACCTAATGGTACTTGACAGTTCTGTCAGAACTTTATTTGAACTTTATGGAACTTTAAAGTTCTGTCGGAACTTTATTCATACTTTATGGAACTTGAAGATTTTGTCAGAACTTTATTTGGACTTTATGAAACTTGAAAGTGAGTGTTATCGTTGAATGCGGAACTTTTGGTGGCTTGTGTAGTCATAGAGACCATGTATTTAGATCACCTGAGATCATCAAGGTCAGTGTTGATCATTGTTTAAGCAATGAAAGAGATGTTTTATGGTCAAGATCTGACGTAAGGTGACAACTGACAAGGGATATTGAAGGGATGAATTTTTATAACTGATTGTTCCGTTAGAGAATTGTGTGAAGTGCTCTAATGCTCACTAGCGCCGCCTACTGGGATGATTAAAAAATTATCTGTTCACCTCCCAGCAGCTCTTCATCTCCTGATCAACTTTGCCCAGGTTTCAAACTACGCAAAGTCCGACATTAAGGTCCGAAGTAACTCAAAGTATGCCATGAATATAACTCCAATTCAGTTTAAACAATTTATTTCTATCCAATTTGATGGTACTGATTGATAGCATGCTCATGCATGTTCTGATAGTTTTCCATCCACTGATGCAAAAGCAACAATAATAAAAATGGATCACTCCAAAACAGTCTTGTTAGTGGTCACCGTATTCGACATATTTTCTGTGATAATCGACTGCCTTTGCTTCCGACACTTGCAAAACAAGCTATCAAATTACAGTACCAAACTAAAATATCATATGACAGGCTCACGAATGTATGTATTTTAGTTTTTCTCGTAATAAGAGCTGCTGATGTTGTGCTTGTGTGAATTCTGATGTCCTAGTAATAACATTTCTGATCAGATATGGTTTAATTTACACCAAATTGAGGTATTAGAACTAAATCACACATGTCATATGATAGTTATTTGAACATTTGCTTTTTGCTCGAATGTTGTTCTACCGTTTTTGTTGTGTAAGAGAGACGACAGTAGAGCATGAGAATACGATTAAAAACAGACTGTCGCGCATTACAACGAAGCGAGTGTCGTAAAAAAACGTCAACAGTTTCAACCCCTGCTTCAAAATATTAAACAATGATTTTTTTAACCTGAAAACTCATCACTCAAATGATCATGACAATGCTTCAATGTGGCGTGGGGTGCGTAAGCATCCATGCTTTCCATTACAGGGTTAAAGTAATATCAACCTTATTGGTGGGTCACGATCTTATGAAATTTCTTTAATTGGTTCGTAATCGACAGAAGTTTGAGAAAAATTGCATTATTTTTAGACTTTTTTACTTTATTTGTCAGATTCTTAGATGTAGGCTAATTCATCTCAAACGCTGCATTAGTTAGTTAAGCTTTTTCTTCAAATGTAACTTTCTACCCATTAATGGTTATCGTGTAAAGTTAGCTCAACGCTATAGTCACTATATGCATAGTTATTTGAGGACAATGACGGGAGCCAATTTGACCTTTCAATTGCGGGAGCTAATCGAGAATGACTGTTCATCGGGCCGGAGACGAACCAGCGTTCGGCTGAAAGTCTTCTCAATAAAGATAAATAACTAATAGCGGATTCGTTTATTATTCAGTTCCAACCTGGATCGGGTATCAAGATTGGGTCTGTTTGTTTTCTGACAAACGTCAGTTTGCTCGTTTGTTTTTAAAACCTAGCTCAGGTTGAGGTTCACACTGACAAAAAGTTCGGTTTCGCACTGGGTTGGAACTGGTGTTAACCCCGATAATAAACGAATTCGCTATAACTCTTTATCGATCAATGTCGTGGAAGTATTGTAATCGTGGTTTTTTACATCAAAAGCTGTAGCTGAAACCCCTTATTATTATTTCAGATTTAACAAGTGCCTTAAACTAAATATAATAATTAATCACGAGTTTATGAATTAAGTTGCTCAAAACGTTGTTGAGTAGTAAAGTTTTTTCAATTGCATAACAAAAACTGTCATTCATCCATTCTAGTAGAATGTGTCTACTCTTCTTTTCAACTCATCTACCTGCACCTCGATGGGACCACTTAATTAGTGGCTAATTCGTGTAAGAATCACTCTCCCAAAAAGCATTCCCGTTATACCTTCACACGGCGCGCCGCGCTCTTGCCATACCTTTGTATCCGTTTTCCCAGTTCATTGCTTCAATGCAACGAGCAACTTTGAAATTGCATTTCCCTTCAAAAGTTAAATCCCAATCCCCTTCACACACCTTTGTTGCGCGGTTGCTTCATTTTGTTTACAATTTTTGTTTTCTCATTTCGACAGGAACTATCTGCTGAAGAATCGCCTCTCCAAGGGACCAAACAAAATCGTTCTCTCTCCGTCGGATTTCGTGTTTCCGGTTGACATGAGAAGGGTAAGTGCAAGGCAGGGACGTAATGTTGTTTTTTTCTTTTTTCGACTGTTTCACTTTCGCTTTGTTTCGTTTCAAGACCAACAAATGAAATGGCCTTAACTCGATTTTGGAAACAAACCTTGTAAGGCCATTTTCTCGCGAACCGAAGTCCGCAAAGGCAAACCAACATAATTTATTTATTAACAGGTAGGGGAAATTCTCCTCTACCCGATTGTGGCTTAGGTTTGCGAATGAAGGTTTCGGTTCGCGAGAAAATGGCCTTACAAGGTTTGTTTACAAAATGAAGTTAAGGCCATTTAAATTGTGGGTCTTGATTTGCTGTGGGTGGGGTGGGCATCTAAGATTGGAATCAAAGGGAGCTTATTTAAAAATTTGCCATTCAAACCAGACACATCCGAAACCGTCCTTCTGGGGATTTCTAATGTCACTCGTCTCATCTATCCATATCATCCAGGTTGACGAAGGTATTGAGGCGATGCTGTGCTGTTGGCTCCAGCAGTTACAGGAGTTTGGAGGACCGGAGGTGGAAAAACCAGACCTGCTTAAGGGATCCATCGGGTCACTGAAAAATCTGGGCCTCCCAGCTCCACCGAAAACGGGCTCCGGAAGTGACACCTTGGCACGACACAACACCATGGTCGCAGGAGCACTGGAGCTTAAAGCTCGCTACAACGTAAGTGCAGAAGCTTGGCTGTTATTTTTCACTTACTTACCACCCAGTGCAGTCAGTCCACCATCCCGACAGCACTATTTGTCTCTGCCAATCAAACGACAACGCAACGCTACCCGCCTTGGAAACGCTTCGTTAAGAAGCTATTTTAATCAATTATGTATCAAAGCGAGGCTCTTATTTATCCTTTCTTTCCCTCGTAACTTCTATCGGTTCCACGTAAACCCTTTTTATCGTTCCACTGCTCGGTTTGCTTCGGTGCGTTAGGCACCGTCCGGGGATGGTCAGTCACCGAAAATCTTAGTCTAAAAATTTCCCCACTTCAAAAAAAGGAACATCCCTAGAATTAAGGCACTCCAACTTGTGTGGTGATAGATTTTATCTGATCGTTTATATTTTTTATTATTTTGCCGGTGCCTTTCAATCCGGTTCACTGTTATCCTATTTTTCAGGGTGATTTGGTTCAGCTAAAGGAAATCCCTTCCAGCTCCGGTTCGTCATCGTCCCAGGAGCTCAAGACGAAGGCGATGGATCTGCTCGTAATGGCACACGGCTTACGGCACGAGAATATCAATCCGCTAATAGGTGAGTTATTATTGAGGATTATTTCAATCGTTATTTATGTCCCATAGTCACATCGGTTATGTTTATCGGCCGCCGATTGCTGCGAAGAAAATGATGTCCGTATTCAGATCAAATTAGCTTTTATTATGTGGAACATGGAGTCTGTGAGATCAGCTGTTTGAAAAGGGCCATGACACAATTTTAAACTTTGGACTTGGCAGCCAACAACGGCTGAAAATTTATTTTATAATTAAAGAATGATTCAACTTCTAGCTGTGTTTCCGGTTCTGCGGCCTCCGCACACGCCACATCATGTCCATGCATCCGCCCTGCCAACTGCCAGCATGAGATATCCGTCAGGTGTTCGGCGACGATTACGAAGTTTTCCGTTGCTGTAGGAATGCTGCTAATAGCCGGAAAGAGCTGGAGGTGTTAAGTGGCTGTAAATTCTAGGTTTAAAGCGAGGTTACTAGAAAATAATGCTTGGACATGCTTAAAACAGGTGTGGACGTCGATCAAACTGGGGGATTGTAACTTGTTTCTCTGTATGGTGTACTTTCCTTTCGACCGTATACGTGAGCGTGACCTCATCGAATCCCATTGCCGATCGATTTTCTCTGTTCTGGATACCACTAAAGCAACCGATGAAGTTATTGTGTTTGGTGACTTCAATCTCTCGGGGATTTCATGAAAAAAAAAACTCGCAACGGCTTTCTCTATACTAATATGTATCACTCTGTCATCTATTAAAATACTTTGCTCCTCCTGAACAATTACAGCTCAGCCACTCTTTTTCAAATCAATAATGTTATTAACCAAAACAACCGCAGTTTGGATATTTGTTTTGTAAGCGCCCAGAACAGAGCTCCATTCTTATCCGAGACGCCCACTTCTCTGGTGAGACTTGATCGTCACCATTCGCCGCTACTGGTGACGTTAAGTACTAAGCTGATGCTTGATTTTAATATTTCACCTGCCACCGTTTCCTACGATTTTCGCAACGCCGACCATGGCAGTATCGCCGAGCTATTCTCTAATTTAGATTGGGACGACTTATTGGACACCGTTGACATTTAGTCCGCTTAGAAGCATGGAGAGAGCAGTGGACAAAGCACAGGTTTGATAATCGCAACGTTCGTGGTTCGAGTCCAGTCGGCAACCTTTTAAGTGTTGAAAGACGAGTGGTCAACACATGGGGACCGTAATCTCAACGTCCATGGTTCGGTTCCAGTCGGCTCCGATTTATTATTTAAGAGCTGATAGACGAGTGGTCAAAGCTTAGGTCTCATAATACCGATGTCCATGGTTCGCTTCCAGTCTGTCCCCACTTACAATATTTTGTTCTTCGTATTCGCGTCAAGGAATTGCAAGTTGCTGGACCTGATACTTGGCTACCTGAGGCTACCTTGGTGAGATCGTACCTGATTTTATCTGTTTAAACATATACATGATTCTCTCAAATTTGACAAATTATTCCCATCCCTATTTTTGGCTCTTTAAAATCATCTTTGAATGCCAAATGGATTGTCTGTACATTGTTGAGCATGTGGTGGAATATTACTGTAAATCAAATATAATGGGGGAGGGGGGGGGGGGGGTTGGCAGCCTAAGGGAATCAAAGGATTTGATAACTGGACGAGGATTCGTGGATTTGCCAGTCCCATGTCACGTGATAATAGATGGCCATCTGGTCGTTTTGTCTTCCAAAGGTCTTCAATGAAGCTGATTCACCCTACTGCAACAAATCATCAGACAGAACTTTACAACCGGTAAAGTATCTGACATTGGTAATCCTTGCACTGATGGTGGGTTCATTCACATCACATCACATAACACCGTTGACATTGAGTCCGCCGCCCAAACTATTTCCAATTTCTTGGCATATGTCATTGACAGACACGTTCGTCAACTGAAATCCAGAAATAGAGCCGCTTTTAGGAAATTCAGCAAGCACCACACACTATCCCTTCAACGTCACTATGTTAGGATCAATCACGAATCCAAGCGAGATGCGAAACGGTGCTGTCTTCAGTATCGGCGTGGATTGCAGAGAAATCTTAAGTCACGTCCCTAGAAGTTTTTGAAGTTTGTCAACGAACAACGTCATGAAATTGGTCTTCCGTCGTCTATGATACATAATTCCAACCGTCTGTGTCTCACCTCGTACATTACGGAGAGTACGACAGACCATATGTAAACAGATGTCATCTACACTGACCTATCAGCCACCCTCTACAAGTTGAACCATCCTATACTGCCGGTAATCGCAAGTCAGTCCCATCTGCATTTTAATCAATTTTGAGTTAACATCATTATTCAGTTTTTCTTTCTATGTTTTTTGAGATGTGCTATTGAATAAAGGTGGTTTGTTCAAGAAAAATGAAAAACAATACCAAGTCAAATTGTCCCACACCGAAAAGTAACTGCAAGTCAGTCCCATTAGTAAAAATTTGTTAGAAATGTTAAACAACACATCGCATCATGAGATTTGTCTCAAGACAGATTTTGTCCACTTCCCCTAGGGTATCTGGAACATGTCCTGATGGGGCCAATATAGTTCTTACGATACTCAGTTTGACCGCCAATGGATATGGCTTTGAATTCTCATGTGATTTGATGTATCGCTTGATGGATTTTGATTTAAAAAGGATTTATCACTTCCCCGGGGATACCCGGAACATGTCCGGTTTCGCCAACATGGTGCTTGTCACTGATCATGACTCTTATCGATCTTATTTTTGAATTCTCATGTGAATTATGTGAATAATCAATTGATTTATCGCATGGTGGGTTTGCCACGTTTATGAAAAGCTCTGGTCTGATAAAGACCCATACTCACCGGAATACGTTCCGGCCATTGCTCTGGAACCAGCAAAACAAATCCAGAAACATTCAATAACGTTCTATGGGACCATGGTATCTTTCTACTGTTCAATACTGTGATAAACTAATGCAGCATCGTCATGGAATTGTGACTGACTTGCGGTTATTTTTCTCATTGACGTTAAATGTAATCGCAAGTCGGTCCCATTCAGATTTTGGCCAAAAAATAAAAATATCTCGATATTTTTTTCAATATTTTATGGTAAACATAGATGCATTCTATCACATTGTATGTTTATTTTTAAATTTATCCCTCTAAAATAAGTGTCAACTCAGAAAGCTTGTAAAATCTTTGAACGCAGTTTTCTCATTTCCAGTTTTTTACAGATGGGACTGACTTGCGATTATGGGCAGTATAGCGATCGCCAAACTGGATAGGCTCAGTATAAACGGCAGTCTCCTACGATGGTTCGCATCCTATCTATCTTATCTTCAGTTGGAAGTTGCAATCGATGACTGTCCATCTTCTTCGTTCCCTGCCACATCGGGTATTCCGCAAAGTAGCCACCTCAGCCCGCTGATATTTCTTGTGTATTTCAACGACGTCAATTTAGTCCACAACGGTCCACGACTGTCGTTCGCAAACGAAATGAAAATCTATATCCGAATCCGAGCCATCGCTGACTGCCACCTTCTCCAACTCCAACACGGAAGAAACATCCAATTACATTCAGTTATATCCTAGAAGGCGTTGACGTACATCATGTGAATCACATTAAGGATCTGGGAGTCATCTTAGATTGTCAACTCACATATAGCCAGCATATCTCGTACGTGATCGACAAGGCATCCAGAACGCTCGGCTTCATTTTCAGTTGGACTTCACGGCCCTTGCAGTTTGTTACTTCTTGACTATATTGTATTTCCTAGTATTGCTTAATCCATCATTAGGACTAAACCCAGTATGATGATGTAAAACCAAATAAACAAAAAATGGTAACGTGGCTTAATCTACGCAAGATATATGTCAGCTATTCTCTAAAGGTTTGCTAGTGTCTTGACGGACGAGAGACTGAGTGACGACGACCACGCCCGACTGGCTGCCAGTTACGTACCACTCTCTGGCCAAACCATGAACAGAATTTAAATTTATTGCGAGATGCTTTCCAGGGCTTCCTCGAAACTCAATTCGTCGTACAATCCGGGTCCTGACGGAATTCCATCGGTGTCCATCAAGTTCCTCAAAATGCACTTGAACAGTTTGTTGATTCTACTGCTGCACGTCCCGTAGACGTTGGCGTTTTCCCATCCTGTTGGAAGCTAGTGCACATGATTCTAGTACACAAGAAGTGCAACAAACAGGACGTTGGCAACTACCGTGGCATCACTGCGCTTAGCGCTGTTCCTAAATTAATCATATCGTCCTGCCATTTTCCACAGAGATGGCGCTGTTCCGCTTACTTACCTTACCAATCAGGCTAAGGCCTTGTTGTCCTCTGCTGTCCGAAGAAGTCGTCTCCACTCTACTTGATCCATGGTCACAGTTCGCCAGCCTCGTAGTCTGCGAAGGGTCTGCAGGTCACCTTCTACTTGGTCGATCCACCTCTCCTCTCGAGCTCCTCTTCAACACCAAGGGCGCGTTGGTCCTCCACGAGCATAGTCCAGGTCTCGTGGCCGTAGAGGACCACCGGTCTAATCAGCGTCTTGTAGACAGTCAACTTCGTGCGGCGGCGAATTTTATTCGACCGGAGCGTCCTCCGGAGTCCAAAGTAGGCACGATTCCCTACCATAATGCGTCTTTGAATTTCTCTGCTGGTATCATTTTCGGCGGTCACCAGTGAGCCCAAATACACGAACTCATCGACCATCTCGATTTCGTCACCGTCAATCTGAACTCGGGGTGGGAGGCTAACATTGTCTTCCCTAGAACCTCTTCCTTTCATGTATTTTGTATTTGATGCGTTGATGGCAAGTCCAATCCGCCTAGCTTCAGCCTTCAGTCTGATGTACGTTTCCACCATCGTCTCAAAGTTCCGTGCCATAATGTCAATGTCATCGGCGAAGCCAAGAAGCTGGATGGACTTCCTGAAGATCGTGCCACTCGTGTCTATCCCAGCTCTTTTGATCACACCTTCTAACGCGATGTTGAATAGCAGACATCGTCGCCTTGAACAATCGCGTCAGTTTATCCGGAAAAC